ATTTTTGGTGTCTTGGCACATAATAGATAGTTAATAAATAGTTGGTGAATGGATTGATATTATCAGATAATATTATCTTTTTAAGGTACTAAACAATTTACATATCTAAATCCTCTTTATAGCATTGAGGGGAGGCAAACATGTAAGTTGCCTTATTTAATTCATATTCTTATTGCTGAATCATGCCTTTGCTTATTTGTCCTTTAAGGGTTAAATAAGAAATTGAATCAACTATAGCATCCTCCTTGAGTTGATTCCTAAACCACAGGCTAAACTAGGCTCTAATTTTCATAGGTAAAAGTATAACACTTACATGCGTAAGGAAAGAATATAACTTTTCCCATCTGAAATAGGAGGTAATACAAGGAGACATAATTATTGGCCCCAAGTTAGTAAAAAAAAAGTTTTTTAAACCTGACTCATCTGTGCCTTATGGATTTCATAACTGATGATTAGCTTCTAGCTTCTCTTAATCAGTCAAACATCCATTTAAGGGACAAATTGATTAGCTCCTTGCATAATTAACGGAACATTAAGTATCATCACTTTGAGTTGAAAAAATTGTTTTGATTAACAGCAAATATGCACAGTTTAACATTAAAACATTAAATAGTGTGATCTCAAATCATTATTAATCTGTTTTTCTTCAAAATGTTGAGGAGGTGTTTGCAGCGAGCTCTGTGACCAATGTTTGCAATTTCCAAAGTATTTTCTGGCTGGCATTAATTCTAATATTACCTTTTCTCATAGAATAAGAGCATAATATAATTCATAAATAATAACCAACATCACCATGTGATCAAATTTTTAGTTTTTACTAACCATACTTAGTGAAACAGTAAACAACATGGTTGTGAGGCATAGAAGAAAGAAGTAATTAAATATTAAACTTTTACAAATAATTTCAAAAAGAATTGGTAAGGATTGGAGAAGGATTGGCAAGACTGTTAAAGTGGAGTGGTTATCAAAGGCATCAATGTCATAAAGGAGAAGATTCATGAGCCAGTATGAATTACAGAGTTGAACAATGTTTAAATATAAAAGAGCAGAAGTGAATGAGACTTTGGAGAAATGAAAAATGCAGAAGGTTCCTCTTGCTGAAGCCAGGTCCAAGGAGATATTCAAATGGGAAAGAAAAACTGAGAAACGGATCTTACAGGCCACAGGGGGTTCAGCAAAGTTGTTTAAAGATACGCTATGTCAGTAGTCCAGAGAAAATTGCATTAAATTGCACAAACACATAATTAAAGATAAACATTCAGTATGTTAGGCAGCACCATCCTGGGCCAGATGGTAGTTGGTTCTTAGTACACCTTGGGCACTGAGGACCTAATTAGTCTTTGCAAGAAGGTGTGCAGATGTCAGTCAATCCTGGAGTTTGTGCTGAGAGGGACAGGTTAATGGAGATACTAGAATATTTGAAATTGATGAGTCCTGAGGCAAGTTTCAAACATTATTTTCCAAAGTTTAGGAACTTAGAAAATATAGCATGAAATTTAGTTTAGGCCTGTTTCTGAAAGTCCAAAAGTACATGCTATATGCTTGTCTTTCTAATTCTTCATCTCAAATCCCTAGTCCCAGTAAGAATTAGCTTAGAGAACTGTTTTGTAGGCAATAAGATACTGAACTACTAATCTAAAATGATCATGTTATTTACATTTTGTAAAGACTTATTTATGGCCGGCGCCGTGGCTCAATAGGCTAATCCTCCACCTAGCGGCGCCGGCACACCGGGTTCTAGTCCCGGTCGGGGAATGGATTCTGTTCCGGTTGTCCCTCTTCCAGACCAGCTCTCTGCTATGGCCTGGGAGTGCAGTGGAGGATGGCCCAAGTACTTGGGCCCTGCACCCCATGGGAGACCAGGAGAAGCACCTGGCTCCTGCCTTTGGATCAGTGTGGTGCGCCGGCAGCAGTGTGCCAGCCGCGGGCGGCCATTGGAGGGTGAACCAATGGCAAAAGGAAGACCTTTCTCTCTGTCTCTCTCTCTCACTATCCACTCTGCCTGTCAAAAAAAAAAAATAAAAAGATTTATTTATTTATTTGAAAATCAGAGTTACACACAGAGAGAAGGAGAGACAGAAAGAGGTCTTCCATATGCTAGTTCACTCCCTAATTTGCTGGAATGGCCGGAGCTGCGCTGATCTGAAGCCAGGAGTCAAGAGCTTCTTCCAGGTCTCCCACATGGGTGTAGGGGCCCAAGGACTTGGGCCATCTTCTACTGCTTTCCCAGGCCATAGCAGAGAGCTGGATCAGAAACGGAGCAGCCAGGTCTCGAACCGGCATCCATATGGGATGCTGTCACTGCAGGCGGCAGTTTTATCCGCTAAGCCACAGCGCCAGCCCCATGTTATTTACATATTATTACATTCTATCCATTCACTCAGATATTCGGTGTGACAATGCAAATATAATCTGAGTGATAGCAAAGAGCACGGAATTCCTGAGAAACAGTCAAATAAGTTGGGGTTCACTAGACCAGAGTCTCAAATGTTATTGTTCATAAGTATTGCTGGGATAATAAGTCAAAAACACAAATTTCTAGAGTTGTCCTGAGTAATTCTCATTCAGTAATTTTGGGGTAGGAACTGGAAATTTGCACTGTTAACAAAGATTGAGAGGAGATCCATGGACCATAATTTGAAAATCATACATAAGAGCTCCCTGAGGGTAAGGACAGTCATTTACTTTATAATTCTTCAGGACATAATAGTTGATGCTTGTTGATTATTAACCATGTATTTTTTAGTGAATAAGTGAATGTCTCACAATTATGTTTCACTCTGGATTACTCTGTCTTAATATCAAAATATTTTAGCTTTTGCAATGTTAGCCTAGAAATTCCAATCTTAAATCCTTCATCCTAAACAAGAGAATCACGCTTTGCAATTGGAATTCCTGTGTGTTTAGTCATCCAGCAGCTCACACTGTCTGCCAGGGCCTATTCTGAAACACTTAAGGATTTATCAATGAAATAGACAAAGATCTTTCCCTCATGGAGCTTACATTCCAGAAGTATGCATGTGTCATGTGTCTAAGTTTAAGGCTTCCAGCTATTTTCTGGAAATATAAAGATATGATCTGAGTTATTCATACCAAAGTATTTCTTCTAGATGTTTGAATTAAATAAAAAATTCATTTTGGCAACTTTTTCAAAGCTCACTGAGGAGAGGAGAGATTGGCTTAAAGCACCAGGGAGTTTTATTTTTGCATATAAATATTTATGTGTGTAAAGGGGTATGTGGTTAATTACAAGCGACGGGAGGAGAATGACAGATGCTTAGATCCTCTGTCCCCATGGAGAGACAGACCTTGCTTGCTGGAGTGTAGTGGCACATCATGTGGTCTGTGTACTGAATCACTGATTTAAATATTGCAGCAGCTGGAGTGCAAAGTGTATCAGCAAATACTACAGGAGGAGAAGCGCTTGTGTCCTGAATACAAAGTAAGGATGAGACAGGCTCGCATTGTCACATTGAGCAAGCCTGTGGATGCCTCCTTCCCTTTGACATTTCAGTTTCAAAGGAGACCCAGAGAAGGGCAACAGGACAGGCCAGGGAACACAGGTCACACACAAGCAGGTAAATAAGTAAAGGAGACCTGTGTTTTGTGACTAATTCCTAAACTTCTATTCCCTGTCCAAGAGAGGGGGAGAGAGAGAGAAAGAAAAATACTCTTATCCTGCTAGGGAAAACCAACTCAGTGAATTCATCTCCATAATGAAAGCACTGACCCAGACAAGTGTATTCCCTATTTCAGTGCTCATGGGGAAAATGAGAAGGAGAAACTAGAGTTTTCTTTGGCACCTTTTTTTTTATTGTTTTCACTTTTGGTGTGCTATGAAGTTTAAAATTCTTTGATCAATTTTATTTAATCAATAACATCTATTAAAGCTTTCTAGCTTTCACAGATCACCTTTTACATTATTTACTATTATTTCCCCTATTTTGTAGATTAGAACTCAGAGCCAGAGTTCAAATGATTTTACACAAAGATTACTCATTTAGTAAGAAGCAGAATAAAATCTAAATCCAGGTGTTCTGATAACAAACTTTATTTCCATCATCATGCTGCTATTCCTACAAATACTCCTTTACTATCTCTTAAAAATGTTTATTTGAGAGGGGGAGAGGGAGGGAGAGTGTGGGGGGGGAGAGAAAGAGAGAGAGAGACAGAGAGAGAGAGAGAGGATGACTGTTGGTTCACTTCCCAAATGTCTACAATGGCCAAGGCTGGGCCAGTCTGAAGCTGCAAGCTAGGAACCCAGTCCACATCTCCCATATGTATATCAGGGACCCAGTTGGAAACAGATTAGTAGGAAGCTGGAACTGGGAACAGTAAACAGTAGTAGGACTTGAACCTAGGCCTCTGAATGGGATATGGACTTTTTTTTTTTTTTTTGACATGTAGAGTTTTAGAGAGAGAGAGAGAGAGAGAAAAGTCTTCCTTCCATTGGTTCACACCCCAAATGGCCGCTATGGTCGGCGCTGCGCCAATCCGAAGTCAGGAACTAGGTGCTTCCTCCTGGTCTCGCATGCGGGTGCAGGGGCCCAAGCACTTGGGCCATCCTCCACTGCCCTCCTGGGCCACAGCAGAGAGCTGGACTGGAAGAGGAGTAACTGGGACTAGAACCTGGAGCCCATATGGGATGCTGGCACCGCAGGCGGAGGATTAACCAAGTGAGCCATGGCGCCGGCCCCAAGGGATATGGACATCTTAACTGTTAGGCTAATTGCATTCCTGTTTTTGGCTGTTGTTATTGTCTCTGCTTTCCCTTTATAATTTCCAGAGTCAGAAATGACAGAAAAGCTGGAGGAGTGAGGCAAGGGTGGGAGGCGAAGAAAATGGTTAGTGCTGACTGATAGAACCTTTCTATGTACAGATAGGGTGTGGAAAACAAGTAGGAAAAATAACATGCAGCTTTAGAAGAATTGCATGAATTCAAACAGTAAGTGAAACAATGAAATAGCTAAAAATGCTAACTCTTTTTCTCAATATTCTAGATCCCTATCACCTGTCCCGAAGATGTCAATCACCTGGTAAACTTCTTGGAGAAATCATCTGGCTGAAAATAACCACCAAAGTTCCATGACCTCACGAGAGTCCCCTCAATTTCAACCTGAAAATGTCTGTGATTGGGACAGACATTTGGATCAGAGGTTAGGATGCTCCTGGCTTCTGACTCCAACTTCCTGCAGACCCCTAGAGAGGGGTTCTACCACCCACAGTGGACCCCTGGAGTAAGTTCCTGGTTTCTCATACCGATTGTGGCCCAGCCTTGGCCCTTGTAGGCATTTAAGGAGTGAACCAGCAGATGGGAGGTCTCTCTGTCTATTTCTGCTTTCACTGTTTCTTTTCCTCTCAAATTAGAAAAAAAAAAAGATAAAATATCTGATGGTCTTTAGAAGTTACAGCCTGGGTCCTTTAATATGCTGATTTGTCATAAGTCTGAGTCACAGCTCATCGTCCATGTTGACACCAATGAGTTTGTAGTGTGTGAGTGGAACAGCAGGGACCACTGAGCTGGATTCCATTCTGCCTCATGCCTCATCAACCAGATGGTTGGCTGTATCAAAGCCAGTAACGCTGATGTCAGAGGCGAGAGAACACAGCTGGATTTTCAGGTTCAAGGGGAAAGAGGGAATCTATATTGCTAAAAGTTTGGGAGGAAATTGCCTTTGGACTAGTGGATAGAGCCAACTAGAACTGATGGAGAGTGTTTAACATTAAGTCCTGCAGCAACATTTCTGTGTAATTGCTTTTGGGGCCATGGTAGAGTTTGAATCCTCTTTATTTCACACCTGCTAACAGGCCTACTGGTGCCAGCCGGCTTGCTGCTGTTCACCAGATCTAGAGGTTTTAGCACTGACATATCAAAACTCCCATCAACTCCTGGCTACTACTGTGTGTCTTCTGCTACCCCTGGGGTTTCTAATGACTCGCTTGAAACCAAAAACTGCGAGGATGGATAACAGCTTAGACGACCAGCCCCTGCAAACTTATTGATGAAGATTACATTTTTATGAGGTTATCAGTATAATTTAGCATTTTAGCTAGGATTTGAGGAAGGTAATACTTGTGTTTGCTTTCTGACTTGATCATGCTAGAGCTAGCAGGAAATTTAATAGGGCATGGTGGCGGGGTGCGTAGAAACAGAACTATTCCCTTACCAAGACTTATAAAGACTTATAACAGTGTGAGAGACCGAGAGAAAGATCTTTACTACATCTTGGTTGCTGCTAAAATTTTCATCATCCAAGCCTGTCTGGTTCCTTTGAATATAAATACTCTCCTTAGCCATGGCTCTGAAGGCCATGCGATCTGGTATCTATCTTGTTGCCACATCAGAGGTCTTACCATTCCTGGGCCACTTCGGGGGAATGGAGTCCAAGTTCCAAGGCTCCCACTCTATAGGAATTCATTCATATCCTGTTTATCATTTATGTATTATCCATCTATCTATCTATCTATCTATCATCTCTCTCTCCCTCCCCCCAGGGTTCAGGTTTCTAATCCTTTGTTTGCCAAGCTCCCAAACAAAGATCTTGGGGTGAGGATGGAGAGGGGTGCTGCTTCAAGGGTCTCTTTTGAAAAACAAAGATGCTCACTATACTGATTTCCACAAACAAGGGAGACTGATTTCAGGGCCATGATGACCCTCTCGGAAGGGAGGTAGGATGAGGAATATTCCCCTTTCGTTCCTTGTATCCTACTGCAGCAAGAACAAGGTAAAATTAATATCTCAATGAATCATCCTGCCACACAGAAGTAGGTGACTTGTAGGTTATTGAGGTTCGGTGAAGACTTGTGGGACATGCGCACTATCTATGATTGAATCAGGTTTGGGGAAGTAGGACCAGAGAATGATTGAGCAATGATTTGCAGATGAGTGCTTGATCCAGGAAGATTCAGGCAATACTTCACCAGGACAATAAATGTGGCATTTGCTGTCAGGAGAGTAACACATCCAGGGAGGGAGAGCTATTCAGACGGAAAAGTGCAGGACCAATAAACAGCGTTGCTCTTGCCAGGAATGCCTGCATCTACGTGTGCATAAAATGCTTAAGCAGTCATCTCTGGATGCTGCAGAAAAGACTCTCCCGCAGCTGCTGCAGCAAAAGGGGTGCCGAGGATTTTAAACCTCGGGAATTAACCTATGTAAATGACTTCTGGGTAGCAGGGAAGATTTTTTTTTTTTTTCGAAAAGCACTCAGCCCAGAAGTAGCTCTTTTCTTGCCAACGTTCTGGGTGATTTATAGAAGTGTTCCCTCTGAAGAGTGCAGAGAGAAGGAATTTTGCAGCAGGACGTGCTTGTTGAACTGGAGGCAGGAGGTGTCCCCTGAAGTTGTACCAATTCCACAGGAGCTGAGTGCAAAGATCTGTTCCACCAAGATAAAGACACTTATTTTAACTATAACAATGCATGGATGAGATAGAGTTAACAGTACTTGGTCCTTTATAGTGTCTTTTATTGGTTAATCCTCCGCCTGCGGCACCGGCATCCCATATGGGCGCCAGGTTCTAGTCCCGGTTGCTCTTCTTCCAGTCCCACTCTCTGCTGTGGCCCAGGAGGGCAGTGGAGGATGGCCCAAGTGCTTGAGCCCCTGCACCTGCATGGGAGACCAGGAAGAAGCACCTGGCTCCTGGCCTTGGATCGGCGCAGCGCCAGCCATAGCGGCCATTTGGGGAGTTAACTAATGGAAGGAAGACCTTTCTCTCTGTCTCTTTCTCTCTCACTGTCTATAACTCCACCTGTCAAATAAATTTAAAAAAAAGAAAAAAAAAGTCTATTATTTATAAATAGAAAGAACTGCATGCTTGGTGCAATTATGACATACCAGTGTTCATCAAAAAGTTTGTGGAAAATGGAATTAAAATATAAGTTTCTTCTGATGTAAAAATTTTGAAATGCATGCATAGTTTCTACATGATACTCATTTTTCATGAACTTTTTGAGGATCTTTTGTACAATAATAAAATAAAGAAAAGGCTAATTTTTTTTTTTTTTTGACAGGCAGAGTGGACAGTGAGAGAGAGAGACAGAGAGAAAGGTCTTCCTTTGCCGTTGGTTCACCCTCCAATGGCCGCTGCGGTCGGTGCGCTGCGGCTGGCGCACTGCACTGATCTGATGGCAGGAGCCAGGTACTTCTCCTGGTCTCCCATGGGGTGCAGGGCCCAAGCACTTGGGCCATCCTCCACTGCACTCCCTGGCCACAGCAGAGAGCTGGCCTGGAAGAGGGGCAACCGGGACAGAATCCGGCGCCCCGACCAGGACTAGAACCTGGTGTGCCGGCGCCGCTAGGCGGAGGATTAGCCTAGTGAGCCGCGGCGCCGGCCTAATTTTTCTTTTTAAAAGATTTATTTATTGGGGCCGGCGCCGTGGCTCAATAGGCTAATCCTCCACCATGCGGCGCCGGCACCTCGGGTTCTAGTCCCGGTCGGGGCGCCGGATTCTGTCCTGGTTGCCCCTCTTCCAGGCCAGCTCTCTGCTATGGCCAGGGAGTGCAGTGGAGGATGGCCCAGGTGCTTGGGCCCTGCACCCCATGGGAGACCAGGAAAAGCACCTGGATCCTGGCTCCTGCCATTGGATCAGCGCGGTGCGCCGGCTGCAGCGGCGGCCATTGGAGGGTGATCCAACGGCAAAGGAAGACCTTTCTCTCTCTGTCTCTCTCTCACTGTCCACTCTGCCTGTCAAAAAAAAAAAAAAAAAAAAAAAAAAAAAAAGATTTATTTATTTACTTTAAAGGCAGAGTTAGAGAGAGGCAGAGGAACAGAGAGAGAGCATTCTTCCATCCGCTGGTTCCCAGATGGCCACAATGGCTGGAGCTACACTGATCCGGAGCCAGGAGCCAGGAGTTTCCTCCCACGTGGGAGAGTGGGACTTTGGCCATCTTCCACTGCTTTCCCAGGCCATAGTAGAGAGCTAGATCAGAAGTGGAATATCCGGGACTCAAACCAGCGCCCATTTGGGATGCCGGCACTGCTGGCGGCGGCTTTACCCGTTACGCCACAGCCCTGGCCCCATGCCTAACTTTTAAAAATAGTTACAATATTGCTGAGTGCCTTTGCTAGGTCACAAAAATGTCTACAAATATGTCCCCTCACCATATCCATACTACCGATGGCGCCTTCGTATCTTGACTCTGGGCTAGGTCTTGTGACCTGCATTGGCAAGTGGGAAAGCAGCAAAGGTGACACAGGTGGATTTCCAAACTGCTGGAATGACAGAGTTGCTCTGTTGCTGCTCTTAGAACTCTAGACGGTCATGTTAATAAGCCCAGGCCACCCTGTGGAAAGACAAGAAACATGTGGCCCACTTATCTCCATCATCAGAACCAAGGAAGGGCTGAAATCCAGACACAAGATGAACCAGCTGATCAGCCACAGATGGTAGATGCATGACTAAATGACACTGATGCCAGTGGCAGAACTTCCTAGAGAAACCCAGCCCAAATTTGGACCTACCAAATTGTGAGCTAAATAAATAGATCTTTTTTAAGCTACTAACTTCTGGAATATTTTGTTATGTAGCTTTGCTCTGTAGCAATAGATAATGGATATAGTTCTTTATACACAGATGGCTCATTTAATGTTCACAACAGCCCCATAAAATAGATATTATTACCACTCTCATTTTATGTGTGAAGAAGCAGAGACAAAAGGAGAATGAGACCATGGGCCAATCTCACACAGCTTGGCAATGGTAGGTCTGAGACTAAGGCTTCCCGATCCCACAGAACTGTTATGCATGATAAACATTAACTTAGGTCTTAGATAATTGTTTATTAAACCAAACCAAAAAAAAATCTGTCTACAAAATGATTTAATTATATTCACAAAAAAAAAACCTAGAAGGAGGCGTTGGGTGAAGTGGTTAAACGTTGCTTGGAACTCATGGATTCCATGGTGCATTGCCTGGGCTCAAGCCCTGGTTCCACTGCAGACCCTGCTAACGTGTACACCATGTGGCATCAGGTAAAAGCTCAGGTATTTAGGTCCCTGCCACCCAGATGGGAGGCCAGGACTGAACTCCTGGCTCCTGGCTCCTGGCTCCTGGCTCCTGGCTTCAGCCCAGCCCCAACAGTTGCAGGCATTTGGAGAGTGAATTAGCAGAAGGGAGATTCTATCTCTCAAACAAATAAAAATAAATTTTAAAACTAATTTATTACATATGGTTGATTATTATATAATTGGGTTGACATACAAAATGCTGTGCGTACTTCATGAATAGAGCAACAAGTTTGGAAGTAAGTGTATACCTGTGAAAGCATCACCACACTCTACACCATAAACACTTATCACCTCCAAAAGCTTCCTGCTACCTTTTTATTCATTGTTATTATTGTCATTATTTTGTGATCAGGACACTTCATCTAAGATCTCATTTAGTCAATTTAAAAATCTTCACTTCAGTATGTTAACTAGAGGCACGATGCTATGTGGTAGATCTCCAGGATATATTCATCTTGCAGAACTGAGGCTTGGCACCCTTCCACTCCTCCCTTCTCATTTCCCCACTCCCTGTCCCCTCGGAGCCACTGTTGATTCTGCTCCTGCTGCTGTGTGCTGGACTGTTTTAGATTCCTTGAATACGAGGGCACTTAAAAGACATTTTGGAAAAATGGAATTCTAGCATAAGCTTATTCTGGTGCAAAATTTTTTAACTACCTGCATTGTTTTCCTTGATAATATACATTTTCAGTGAACTTTTTGAAGACTCTTGTATGTGTGGATTTAAAACTCTTTTTGCTCCAAAGTAGACTCATCTTTCAACTTTTTTTTTTTTTTTTGACAGGCAGAGTTAGACAGTGAGAGAGAGAGAGACAGAGAGAGAGTTACAGACAGAGAGAGAGAGAGAGACAGAGAGAAAAGTCTTCCTTCCGTTGGTTCACTCCCCTAATGGCTGCCACGGCCGGCGCTGCGCCAATCTGAAGCCAGGAGCCGGGTGCTTCCTCCTGGTCTCCATGCGGGTGCAGGGACCCAAGCACCTGGGCCATCCTCCGCTGCTCTCCCGGGCCACAGCAGAGAGATGGACTGGAAGAGGAGCAACCGGGACTAGAACCCGGGGTGCCAGTGCCACAGGTGGAGGATTAGCCAAGTGAACCACAGCGCTGGCCTAACTTCATTTTCCACCATCTTTAAAACATTTTTATTTAAGAGGCAAAGTGACAGAGAGAGCTGCCATTTCCTGGTTCACTACTCAGATGCCCTCAGCAGCCAGGATGATCAAGCTAGGAGCTAGAAACCCATTCCAGCTCTCACATGCAGACAGCAAGAACTCAGTTACTTAGGACATCCTTGCTGCCTCCCATGGTCCACATTAGCAGGAAGCTGCAATCAGAGCTGGAGCGGGAATTGGTGTGGATGTGGGATGTTGGCATCCTAACCAGCCTCTTAATTACTAGACCAGATGCCTGCCCCTCTTTGGCCTTTGGGAAGCATCTTCATAAGAGGCATCTTGGGGTATTTGCCCTTCTGTGTCTGGTTTATTTCACTTAGCACAATGTCCTCTAGGTTCATTCATGTTTTTCCAAGTAGCAGGATTTCTTGATTCAAAAATCAGATAATTTTTTATTGTAAAGTTTGAATATTCATCTTTGAATTGTCTCAAAAAAATGCCTTGTGTTGGGGCCAGCGCCGTGACTTACTTGGTTAATCCTCTGCCTACATCCCATATGGGCGCCGGGTTTTAGTCCCAGTTGCTCCTCTTCCTGTCCAGCTCTCTGCTGTGGCCCGGGAGTGCAGTAGAGGATGGCCCAAGTGCTTGGGCCCTGCACCCGCATGGGAGACCGGGGGAGGTACCTGGCTCTTGGCCTCGGATCGGCGCAGCGCTGGCCATTGCGGCCATTTTGGGGGTGAACCAACAGAAGGAACACCTTTCTCTCTGTCTCTCTCTCACTGTCTATAACTCTACCTGTCAAATAAAAAAAAAAAATGCCTTGTGTTAAAAAGAACCCCTGAGAGAACTTCTGACCCTGATGGGCAGATTGACTCACTTTTTATACATTAAAGTACACACAGATGAAACAGTAGGTTTCAGGAAGGAGAGAAAGACAGAAAAATGGTGAGACAAAGGAAGACATTTTTAAAATCCCAGTTAAGCTACTATAAATGAAAAATACAGTGTAAGAAATGCAAAGCAAATTGAATGGGGCTGTTAGTTAATTAGGACTGTGCAGTATAAACTTCAGTGAGTGTGAGGACATCACAGTATAAGGCATCCAAAATGAATCATTACTAGAAAAAAAAAAGTCAGTAATCAGAAAATCAGTGATTCATGGAACACTATCAGGTATTTTATTGTACATATAATTGGAGCCCCAGAAAGAGATAATGTGAAGAAGATACAAATATACATTTGCATAAATAATAAAAAATATTTCCACAGATGATGAATTTTATAAGCCCACAAATGCAAGAAGGTATCTCAACTGGAGGGAGCAGAAGAAAACCACATGAGGCACTGCTGAGATCCAATGACGAAGATGAAATCCTAAAGCAGATGGAGCTAAAAGACATTTGACTGCAGAGGGACAAAGATATGAACGATAAAACATTTCTTGTTAAAAACCATGTAGATGAGAATACAGTGGAGTAATGTATGGTGGGGGGAAAATCTGCCACCCTTGGATATACATACCCAACAAAAAGACATTTCAGAAAGTAAAGGCAAAAATGAAACTTTCATAAAAATAGAGCAAATTCATCAGCTGTAGACTAAACAGCAAGAAATGTAAGATGAAGTTCTTTAAGCACAAGGGAAGTCATATCAGGTGGAAATATATACCCATGAGAAGGAATGAAAAGGAGAAAAATGCATGAAAATATAGGGGCTAACGATGTGGGGTAGCAGGTAAAGCCGCCGCCTAAAGTGCCGGCATCCATGTGAACGTGGATTCAAGTCCCGGCTGCTCCACTTCTGATTCAGCTCTCTGCTATGGCCTGGGAAAGCAATGGAAGGTGACCCAAGTCCTTGGGCCCCTGCACCTGTGTGGGAGACTGGGAAGAAGTTCCTGGCTCCTGGCGTCAGAACGGCGTAGCTCTGGCCGTTGCGGCCGATTGGGGAGTGAACCAGTGGATGGAAGGCCTCTCTCTCTGCCTCTCCTTCTCTGTGTAACTCTGACTTTCAAATAAATAAATATTTTAAAAATATATATAAAAGACACTTTTCTCATTAAAATTCTTCAAAGGATGATTACTTTAAAATGAGAACAATATATTTTGTGATTAATGATGTATCCAGAAATAAAAATGTAGCACTATAATAGCACAATAAACAAAAGTACACTATGTTGATTTTTTGAAGATTTATTCATTTATTTTGAAAATCAGTTAGAGAGAGTGAGGGGGAGACAGAGAGAAAGTGATCTGCCATCCGCTGGTTCACTCTCCAGATGGTCTCGATGGCCAGGACTGGGCCATCTTCTGCTGCTTTTCCCAGGCACATTAGTAGGGAGCTAGATAGGAAGTGGAGCAGCTGGGACATGACCCAGTGCCCATGTGGAATGCTGGCATTGCAGGCAGAAGCTTTATCCACCCACTAAGTCACAGTGCTGGCCCCTGTTGATATTCTTATGCATGAAGAGGTATCACACTATTTGAAGGCAGATATGATAAATTAAAGAAGTATGTTTTATTTTTAAAGTTTTTTTTATTATTTTTTATTTTTTTGACAGGCGGAGTGGACAGTGAAAGAGAGAGACAGAGAGAAAGGTCTTCCTTCCGTTGGTTCACCCCTCAGTGGCCGCTGTGGCCGGTGCACCGCGCTGATCTGAAGCCAGGAGCCAGGTGCTTATCCTGGTCTCCCATGGGGTGCAGGGCCCAAGCACTTGGGCCATCCTCCACTGCACTCCCAGGCCATAGCAGAGAGCTGGACTGGAAGAGGAGTGACCGGGACAGAATCCCGCGCCCCAACCGGGACTAGAACCCCGGGTGCCGGCGCCGCAGGCGGAGGATTAAACCTATTGAGCCGCAGCGCCAGCCAAGAAGTATGTTTTAAATCTAAGATGTTTTAAAAAGTCTCTACAGACTTAGAAAAAAGTTTAAGCCTTGGTAAAAAGTAGCTGCCAGAACTAATTTTATAGCTATTGAATCCATCAAAAACTCAACTCAGGGACCAGCACTGTGGCGTAGTGGGTAAAGCCACCGCCTGCAGTGCCAGCATCTCATATGGGTGCCACTTTGAATCCTGGCTGCTCCACTTCTGATCCAGCTCTCTGCTATGGCCTGGGAAAGCAGTAGAAGATGGCCCAAGTCTTTAGGCCACTGCACCCGTGTGGGAGACTCAGAAGAAGCTCCTGGCTCCTGGCTTCTGATCAGTGCAGCTCTGGCCATTGCAGCCAGTTGGGAAATGAACCAGAAGATGGAAGACCTCTTGCTCGCTCTCTCTGCCTCTGCCTCTCTGTAACTCTACCTTTCAAAAAAAAAATAAATCTTTAAAAAGAGAGAGAGAAAATTAATATCAGGTGAGTAGTTCTCAAAATATGGAATATTAATAGAAATACTGAGAAATCAATGAAGAAAGAGGATATAACAATTCTAAATATGCATGTACATAGTGGAAATCTGAAATATGTGATGTAAAAGTTGATAGAATCATAATGAGAGCTAGACATCCATAATTATAGTTGGAGATTTCAACATTCCTCTCTCAGTAATTGATAGTAGAACTACACAGAAAATCTGTAAAAATAAATATTACTTTGCAGACTGCACATCATCTATGTGGGAACTCCCCTAAGTCATTTCCGAAAAGCTACTAAAACTTACGAGTTTAGCAAAGTCACAGGATTCATGGTCAATTCAAAAAATCAGTTGTATTTCTACATATCAAGTCTCATTGTTCATGGACTCTGTATTTATAAATTTGTCTATTTCCTAAAATTCATCTGTAATCTCCAAGTCTATACTCATGGTGCCGTCACAGTCACTGATGGACAAGCAGGAAGCAGTGGAAACTTGGAGTCACACTCATGCTCCCTACTGAGGTTGAACAGTGGTAGTGTGTCTTCCTGCTTTAGTTCCTATGCTGTAAACAAGTGTCATTTTTTTTGTGGTCTATTTAAAATGCCACACCTTTCACATAATTGTACTTCTTGTTGGTGGTTTTACTATCAAAAATAGCCTCCAGTCAAATTTTATTTATTGTTCTTAAGCAAGAGAGCTATATTTGCTTTATGAGGAAAATCCGTGTATCATATACGCTTCATTTAGGCTTCAGTCACTGTGCTGTTGGTTGAGTCAATGTTACCGGACCTACTATATAATAAACAAAGTGTCTTTAAACAGACTCACTTATGTATTGATCAGCTAGTAAAAATGTTGACAGGGGCTTGCAGAAATTTTTTTAAAGATTTATTTATTCATTATTTATTTGAAAGGCAGAGTTACAGAGAGGCAGAGGCAGAGAGATAGAGAGAGAGAGAGAGAGATCTTCCATCCGCTGGTTCACTCCCCAACTGGCTGCAATGGCCAGAGCTGTGCCAATCCGAAGCCAGGAGCCAGGAGCTTCTTCTGGGTCTCCCACACAGGTGCAGGGACCCAAGGACTTGGGCCATCCTCCACTGCTTTCCCAGGCCACAGCAGATCAGAAGTGCAGCAACCAGGATTCAAGCTGGCACCCATATGGATGCCAGCACTGCAGGTGGCATCTTTACCTGCTACGCCACAGTGCTGCCCCTGTCTGTGGTATTGGTAATAGAGATGTATGACTGTGTTTTGAAAATGCTTAACCTTTGACGACAGACCTGTGTATAGAAAAGGGAGATGTTGAAGGCACAAGAAATCCCTTTCACGTTTCATCAGGTATGACTCTGGGTTTAGCACACTCAGCTTGTCTAATACTGTTAGCGTTGTCATTACTCACAAACTTCAAATACTTTGCCTACATTTTCTTTTTTGACTTTTTCAGTTTTTAGACAACGATTTTTTTTTGACAGGCAGAGTTAAACAGTGAGAGAGACAGAGAGAAAGTTCTTCCTTCCCAAATGGCTGCTACGGCTGGCACACTGCGCCGACCCGAAGCCAGGAGCCAGGTGCTTCCTCCTGGTCTCCCATGCGGGTGCAGGGCCCAAGCACTTGGGCCATCCTCCACTGCCTTGCCCCGCCACAGCAGAGAGCTGGACTGGAAGAGGATGAACCAGGACTAGTACCTGGTGCCCCAACCGGGACTAGAACCCAGGGTGCCGGCGCTGCAGGCGGAGGATTAGCCAAGTGTGCACGGCGCTGACCCCGACAAAGATTTTTTTGATATAGGATTTATTGTGGTAAATATATATGTAACATAAAATTAACATTATAAATATTTTTAAAGGGTAATTCAGTGCAGTCAATTTTATCCACAACGTTGTGCAACCATGGTCATGATTTCCAAAACTTTTTCATCACCTCAAACAGAAGCTCCATAACAACTAAACAACCACCCCCACTGTCACTCCATTCTGATAAACTTCTATATACTTTCTAAGTCTGTAAATTACCTAAAAATTCATATTAGTGGTATCATACTTTGACCTTTTTTATCTGACTTATTTCACTCAGCATGTCTTCAAGGTTCATCCATTCTCTAGTGTGTCATAATTCTCTTCTTTGTAAAGACTGAATCATATTTATTTATATGCATAGACCAAGCTTTACTTACCTTCTATCTGTTGATAGATTTCTAAGTTGTTTCAGTGTTGCAATGAACACTGGTACACAAGTATCTGTTCAGTCTGCTTTCTATCTCCTTGGGCATATATATATGTAGGAGTGGAATTGTTGGATCGTATTGTGAGAAAATGATTTTTTAAAAAGATTTTATTTATGTATTTGAGAGGTAGAGTTACAGAAAGTGAGAGATAGAGAGGCAGATAGAGAGGTCTTCCATCCACTGGTTACTCCCACATGGCCGCAATGGCCAGAGCTGAGCCAATCTGAAGCCAGGAGCCAGGAGCTTCTTCTGGGTCTCCCACTTGGGTGCAGGGGCCCAAGCACCTGGGCTACCTTCCACCTGTTTCCCAGGCCATAGTGGAGAGCTCGATCAAAAGTGGAGCAGCTGGGACTCAAACCAGTGCCCACATGGGATGCCAGTGCTGCAGAAGGAGGATTAATCTACTGTGCCACAGTGCCGACCCTGAAAATGATTTTTACAGCATAAATAGTGAACATTACAGAAGAATTAAAGTGCAAGGGCCGGCGCTGTGGTGCAGCAGGTTAAAGCCCTGGCCTGCAGTGCCCGCATCCCATATGGGCGCCAGTTCTAGTCCTGGCTGGTCCTCTTCTGATCCAGCTCTCTGCTATGGCCTGGGAAAGCAGTAGAAGATGGCCCAAGTCCTTGGGACCCTGCACACATGTGGGAGACCGGGAAGAAGCTCCTGGCCCCCGGCTTCGGATCGGCGCAGCTCCAGCCGTTGTGGCCATCTGGGGAGTGAACCAGCAGATGGAAGACCTCTCTCTGTCTCTACCTCTCTCTGTAACTCTGTCTTTCAAATAAATAAAATAAATCTTAAAACAAATAAAGTGCAAAGGTAAACTTGGAGAAAGAAAAAATCTATAGTAAAAATATTTTTTCTGTCTTGTTCTGTGCTTCTTTAGCATAATTTTTAAAAGCAAACTTGTGTACATATGGTCCCTGAAAGTAGCTTCTGTGATCACCTTCTCTTTATAGCTTCTATCCGCTAGCTACACCCTCAAAGGTGAGATGCTTGCCTTTCTAAGCAGGAAAAGGCTAGAAGAATCATAACTAAGATAGCTTCCACCAGGAAAACTCCTCCCAATTTGCTGAGGGCTTTCCCATCACAGCACTGGAAGTCCCACATCTGAGAAAACCCTCCTTCTAGGAAAATTGAGACAGTAAGTCACCCTACTTTAAGGCCTGCCAAAAATGTATACTCTTTTACATAAAGGCCTTTGTGTTACTGTTGTGGATTGTTATCATGATGGTTTTATCATTTGTAAAAAAGGGGCATAATATTTCCTATAAGTATGCTAGATATATTTTGGGGAAAATAGTGTGTGGAATTCTTTGGAATGGTATAGGCATTAGGAAAATGTGATATTGGTGTTACTTCTTAGAGGGATGTGTGTGTACAATTTCCACACAATGCCTAAATCTAATTTTCCACCAATAATCTCAATCAATTTTTTCAAAATAAAACTTTTTACGGGGGGCAGTGTTGTAGCTTAGTCAGTTAAGCCCCCGCTTGTGATGCATGCATCCCACATGGGCACCAATTCAAGTCCTGGCTGCTCCACCTCCTACCCAGCTCCCTGCTAATGTGCCTGGGAAAGCAGTGGAAGATGGCCCAAGTGTTTGGGCCCCTGCACCCACGTGGGAGACCTGAATGACGCTCCTGGCTCCTGGATTTAGCCTGGCACAGCCCTGGCTCTTGCAGCGATGGTAAGAATGAACCAGCAGATGGAAAATCTCTCTGTCTCTATGTCTTTCTCTCTGTCTCTTCTTTCTCTGTAACTCTGCCTTCCAAATAAGCAAATAAGTTTTTTTTTTTTTAAATAAAACATTTTTTCCCAAGCAGCTGGTATTCAGGCAAACTTACTGAATCAACTTTGGTTCTCTTTTCATTTACACCTTTGCTTTGAGAACTCAAATAGAAAATACCCGAACTGCAGGGAGTGTTGCAAAGCAGAAACATTCTTCATGGGAACCTAGTCAGTTGAATGGGGATGGTTGCCTTAGGCAAGGTACCAGGTTGAACTTCATGTACGAGAAGGAGAAAGGACAGATGAATGTCAAGATTTCTAGAGATGGTGCTGGATTACAATATTTACAGACCCCTATAAGAGAAATACATAATCTGTGCATATTACACAGCAATGCTGGCAGAATCTGTGATGAGCACTGTGCATTCCAATGCATGTAACATATATAAGGACTGTATATGGCTTTCCTGCCATTCAGGTCTGCATACGAATGACTTTTGAAAATCTTTCAGTTTTAATAGCATTCTCATAATTGTAGATAGAAGACTGATGTTGAGTGAATCATGCCAGTATCTTTTGGACTGAAATAATGAAATATTAAAAAACAGAAGAGGGACCAGCATTGTAGTGTAGTGGGTGAAGCTGCCACCTGCTTCCCATATGGGTGTTGATTTGTGTCCCTGCTGCTCCTCTTCTGATCCAGCTCCCTGTTATTGGCTTGAGAGAAGTAGCAGAAGATGGGCCAAGTGCTTGGGCTCCTGTCACCCACATCAGAGACGTGGATGGAGTCTGGGATTCTGTCTTTGGCCTGGCCCAGCCCTGGCAATTGCAGCCATTTGGGAGAGTAAAACAGTGGATGGAAGATCTCTCTCTCTCCCTCCCTCCTTCCCTCCCTCTCATTCTTTGTCTCCCTCTCTCTCTAGAGCTGGACCTTTCTATATATATATTAAAAATGGAAGAGAATTCAGAGCTCATCTTGTCTAAGATGCCCAATATCTTGTAGGAAATATTAGTAATAACAATAATAAATAAGTCCTTAAGATTCCAATCCTCTATTATCTCATTTAGTCTGCTTGATTGTCACATTAAATATATGTCAGTAACAGCTGCAATAAAAGGCCAGAACCAGGTAATACTTGGGTAACTCAAACAATGCTACTTACTAGATAACACAGCAGGAAATCAGCATAGCAGAATGATTCTCTAATGAGACAGAAATCTAAGCTTCCAGGATTTCCTCCACAGGGCCTTATATACCAGTGGATGGATGGTGATTTGCTGTCGAAATCTGAGAGACAGCACTATGAAGACATTCATGAAGTAGTTTTTTCAGAATAGTCCATTTAAAAATAACTTTCCAGCTTTACTTGTCAGCTTCATTAGTCTCTGATTTTCTGTTAGAAACCCTAATTATAATGATAAGAATCACCTTTTATTAAGTGCTCACTATGTTCCAGGAACATTAGCACGCTTAATCCTCACAACATCCATGGTAGCTATGATCACAGCCGTGATGAAGGGATACTGACATTCTGGCAAGCTAAATACCTTGCCCAAGTTGTGCAGAAGGGGATTACTAGGATTTTAATGTGGATTTATTTTTTCTTTATGGTTACAGCCTTGAGGCTCTACTTTAAGAAAAGTGTTCTGCAGAAATCTAAATACCAACCTAGACAAATCAAGAATATGCTATTCATGTTATAAAAGGATACTTCCTTTACAAATTTTCCTTAAATAGCAGGATTTCTTTACATTAGCATTTCCTCAGCACATTTTGTTTGTTGGTCAATAGTGACTTGAGGGAGAGTCTGGGGGAAACCCTGCCAAATACTAATCAATCAAAATTAAAGACAAATAATTCATGGAAGAATTAAAAAAAATCATTGGGAAAGTATAACTAAATATATTTCTTTTTCCACAAATACATATCTCCTAGAAGTGGATTGATTTGGTCTAGAAAGGTATTCTTTCTAGGTTGTTCAGAGACAACTTTTAGAAGTCCTACCTTATAAGAAGCCCTGTCAGATGTCATTAAGAGAATTACTGAACTGAACTGAGAACTGGAGACAAGACTCTTATTTATGAAATGGGCAGACCAGTTAACTAGGTATGCTAAACGCTGTACGTAAAAAGATGCTGCTAAGACCCAACAAAAAATGCTGCAATGATTACTTTTATTCCTTAGAATCTTCAAACAAATAAAATTGTTCTCATTCTGTTGTAAATCATAGATGTACCGATAAATTTAGGCAAAGTGAAACTTACCTGCATAGTGTCTGTTCTTTAAAGTAAATTGGAAGAGACTAAGCACAATTAATTCATAAATGTTGTTTAAAAAAAAAAGAATCTTCAGACTTGAAGATCTCGGGGCTGGCACTGTGCCCTATTAGGTAAATGTGCAGGCATCCCATATGGCCGCTGGTTCAAGTCCCAGCTGCTCCACTTTTTTTTTTTTTTTTTTTAATTGAATAGACTGTCCTTACTCCAGGGAGCTCCACTTCTGATCCAGCTTGCTGCTAATGTGCCTGGGAAAGCAGAGGAAGATTGCCCAGGTCCTTGGGCCCCTGCACCTGCATGGGGGAGCCAGAGGTGGCTCCCGGCTCCTGGCTTGGAATTGGCTCAGCACCAGCTGTTGTGGTCATTTAGGGAGTAAGTCAGCAGCTGGAGGACTGCTCTCTCTGCTTCTGCCTCTGCCTCTGCATAACTTTGCCTTTCAAATAAATAAATGAATCTTTAAAAACAAACCTCCCTGTCCTCTAAAACAAACAAACAAACAAACAAACTTGAAGATCTCTTGTATCCTCCCTTTAATTACTTCTATTTCAGACAATACACATAGAAAAACTTAAGTACTATCCAAGGAGCACAGTGATTAGAACCGTAGGACCCGATTTAATATCACGGAAGAGCAGTAAGGGAAGATGTGATAGAATCCATAGCAAGGATGTTTTGAGTAAACAGAAACTAACTTTCTGAAGAGGACTCTACAGAATGAGAAAGTGACAGGAAGAGATGAACATGATGTGAAGGCAAACAGCAGTAAGCTTCTGCTTTAATAAGCATGTATGATTAGACAGCAACATGCATACATAATCAAACAGGACTCAACCACCAAGATGTCAGACTGACTCAAGAAAGCCTGTTCTTCCTAAATACTCCATTGAAGATAATTTTCCAGCTTTACTACTTTAGCTTCATCAATCTCTCATTTTTATTGTTACAACTCCAAGCATTTGATTTCACCAACATATTCATCTTAAGCATAACTCTCCTCATCCCCCCCCCCCCTTTTTTTACACATTTCTTCACATTCTGCTTGCTCTATCCCTGCTGGATATTTCTTTCATAACAATAAAACAATAAAATAATAATAGCATCTAACATTTGTGGGCTTCGTTTTTGCTAGAATGTGTTTAGTACTGTATATGATTTATACTTAATCACCCCAGGAATGGAAATTTAGAGAGATTATGTGATTTGTTCAAGGTGATACATATCTAGATGGTAGAGCCAGAATTTTAACACAAGGCTCTGCCTAACTTTAATCTTTACTCTTGAATCATTGCATACCACCTGCCACCTGCCACCTCTGTAGGTGTTAGGGCTGTGACATGCTTAGTTGTGATAGGACCATGGCCTTGAGACTATGAAATCATTGGTCTTGGTTAATGAGGGAGGGGCCTCCAAGATAACCTAGCAGTAACTGTTTGCTCCTTTATCTTCTCATTTATGACTCTCTAGTTTCTGATTATTCTCAGAATATTTTTGGGAGAGTAAATAGACAGCTATTATTTTAAATCTCAAATTTACATTATGCTAGGGAAGTAGTCAAAGATTAAATGACTTGCGGGTTGGAGGGGATTTGAGGATATGGAGCGATAAGCCAGGTGGGGCAACTGTCCTTACCCTGGGGCTCCTGGTCTAATGGGGTGCAGACCTGGAGCTCTTGGTTCCCTCTCTCCTCTTGCAATGGTTTGTTTCTGCACTATCTATATTTGCCTTAGCAGAATTGTGTTATGGGTTTATCTTAGGGTAACCTGGGATTACTCGTGGAAGGCTACCATATAAACCTATACTTAGAAAATTGAGGTCTGTGTTTCTGAGATGAATGGAAAGGCAAGTAACAAAACACACAATTCATTATGTCAAATCTGATTTTAATTCTCCTTAAAGAAATAAAGCAAATGGCATGACATTTTGGCAGTTTCTTGAAAGCACCCACATTTGATTTGATGAGATGTGTGCTCCTATTTGAGTCGTGTCCAAAAGAGGGCAGACAGATGGAAGGCTTTTACAAAAGGGAAAAAAAATCCTGGTTAGTGTGAGCCTGGAATTCCTAAATGGCTTTCAATTTTTTTTTTTCTCTTGTAAAGCAATAAATAGGTCTTCACAGATGGGCTAGCACTTGAGTTAAAAGCACCCTTTGAAAAATTACAATCAATGAGAGCCTTACACAGATGTAGATAGTTCAAACACATGCAAATCATAGCAAATCACACAGGGTGAGGCTAGAGAAACCAGTCTTTAAAGAAGCAAATATACACTCAGAGCTGTGAAACAAACTGCTGTGACCCTCCAGCATCGCTTTTCCAGCTGGGAGTCACCACCCATTGCTAGGTATGAAATCAATTTAATCGGTTGTAACCAGAATTTGCAAACAGGGTGGTGGTGGTGGGGACATGAACCAGCACTATTGGGAGTGTACCATGTGTGGTGAGAATAAATGCTGTTTCCTGAGGGTCTGTTTCACTTACACACTGTGCACCGGGTCCTGATATATTCCTTACTATAGGTCATGGTGAAAATATCATTATATTTTTTAAATTGTACCTGTGAACTATATTGAATTTGTATTAATATTGAATCAACATGAAAAATAAAGTATCAAAATAAAGATACTGGTCTAGCAGATGACTAATGCAACTCTACTCAACACAATGCAATTCTACTGATGAACGGCCAGACTTTAGTATGCATGGTTAACATCTGAGTTGTGCTTCTTAGTGCATCAAGTAGGTCTCTGTCTCTTGAGCAGAGTGGGCTAGGGGAGGCCTGTGAAAATGCTCTACCTGCTGGATGCCCCTGGCAGGGATGCGTGGGCGGACTCAGAAGCCTGTGTGTGCTGACATGAAATGAATGTCCAGAGAGCAGATGATAAAATGTCTTTTATGTGGACTGAGCTCAAAAGGATTCTGCTTTCGGATTTAAGAGGATGGTAGAATTAAGCACGTGATGAGAAACAAATGACCCAGAAACCGAGCACAGTGGAGAGCAAACAGTGACAGTTTCTGTAAATAATTCCTAAAACTTCTTGAAAATAACAAGAATCTAATATTTATTAAGCACTTAACATATACCTATACTTTGTTAAATGTTTTACATGAATTAACTTTTTTTTCTTTGAAATAAAAGATTTATTTAATTATTTGAAAAAAAGAGTTACAGAGAGGCAGAGGCAGAGAGAGAGGGGTCTTCCATCTGCTGGTTCATTCCCCAAATGGTGGCAATGGCCGGAGCTGGGCCCACCATAGCCAGGGGCCTGGAGCTTCTTCCAGGTCTCCGACGCAGGTGCAGGGGTCCAAGCACTTGGACCATCTTCCACTGCTTTCCCAGGCCATAGCAGAGAGCTGAATGGGAAATGAAGCAGCCGGGACTCAAACTGGCTTCCATATGGGATGCCAGCACAGCAGGTGGCGGCTTTACCTGCTATACCACAGCGCTGGCCTCTTACATGAATTAACTTGTAAGAGTCCTAGGAGACAAGCACTGTTATTGCTGTTTTGAACATGAGGAAATGCACACTCACAGACGCTGAAAGTTACACAGCTGTCAGTGGTGGAAACCGAACTTAAATGTAGGTTTATCACCAAAGCTTAAATCCTTCCTCATTCTGTACACTGCCTCAGTCTCTGCATAGCACATCCACTGCTGAGGCTGAATAGACAGCAAGGGCTTAGGAACCCTACGAATTATCCTGAAGTCCCCCTTCTCTTCCACTCTCCACATCAAGGCCATTCATTCTCTGCCCACGATGTGAGGTACGCCACATCCACTCCTTTGTCTACCACTTTTGCCCTAATCCAAGCCACTCTTATGTCTCACTATAGGCTGTAGAACCATCTCCTAAATGTTCTCCTGCCTGTCCCTTGTGCTACCCTGGCATCCATTCTCCTGGGGGTAGCTAGAGCAATCTTCAAAAGACACATATCAACTAACATCACTGTTTTCCTTTGAACTTGGAATAATAAACAAACCTGTTATATTCCAAGATCTCCACAGACTTAGAATAAAATCTAGACTTGTTAGCATTCAAAGACTGACATAGTCTGTGCCCACCCTCTCCACCTATCTCTCCAGCTTTATCGCCTGCTATCCTTCCATAGGCTCTGACTTAGCCCTGGAAAGTGCTTTGTCCGGGACCAGTGCTGTGGCATGGTAGGTTAAGCTGCTGCCTGTAATGCCGGAATCCCATATGGACGCTGCTTTGAGACCCAGCTGCCCCACTGCCTATCCAGCTCCCTGCTAATGCACCTGGGAAAGCAGTGGAAGATGGCCCAAGTGCTTGGGCCCCTGTACCCATGCAGGAGACCTGAAAGAAGCTCCTGGCTCCTGGCTTCGGATGAGCATAGCTCTGGCTGTTGCGCCCATTTGGGGAGTGAACCAGTGGATGGAAGATCTCTCTCTCTCTCTCTCTCTCTCTCTCCCCTCTCTGTAACTCTGCCTTTCAAATAAAATAAAGAAATCTTTTCTTTTTTATAGTGCTTTGCTCAGATCTTAGCAAAACTGACTTCTTTCCCCATAGAAGACACTCATGGATTATGCAGATGAGGGCGTGCCCTCTGACCCTGCCTCCCCATGATGCTGCCTGCCCTGACCTGTTCCCTGCTCCAGTTGCCCCAGATTTACTTTCTGTGCAGTACTATTCACTGTCGGAAAGTGTATTCTTTGCTTACTTATTTATGGTCTGTCTGCTTCTCTAAGTGCCGAAGCCCTGAGACCTTGTTCGTATTGCCCTGGGCAATATTCCCAGCCTTCAAAACAGGGTCAGCCTGGCAATAGCACATGCTAAAAATATCTGTGAATACATGACCAAGAGAATGAATGAATTTGTTTCAAGATATTTCAAAGGCCCGGGCTCCTTATTTCTCTTCACATTTTTATTTTATTTTTAATTGACAAATACTAATCATATGGGATAAATGTGATGTTTTGACATGTGTCGACGTTATGGCATGATTATATCAAGTCAATTAATGCATCCATCATCTCACATTTGTAACATGTTTTGGCAGAAAGAACATTTAAAATCTATCTTTTCAGCAATTTTGAGCTACATAGTATTATTATTAATTATGGTCACCAGTCTAAGTCTGTGCAATAGCTCTTGAAAATGTATGCCTTCTGTCGTGCTGAAACTTTGTACCCTGTGATCAATGTCTCCCCAGTTTCCCACCCACCCCACCCCACCTCCCAGCTCTGGAACCCCCATTCTCCTAGTCTCTACTACAGATTTGCCTTTTTACCATCCCACACATAAGTGAGATCAGCAGGATTTGTGTGTCTGCACCTGGTTTGTTTCTCTTAGCATAATCTCCCCCAGGTTCATCCATGTTGTTACAGATGACAGAACCGCCTTCTTTTTGAAGACTCAGTGGTATTCCATTGTTTATGTGTCACACACTGGTTTTTGGTCCATTCATTGGTTGATAGACACTTAGGTTGAATCTGTATCTTGCCATTCTAGAGCAACTATGAACAGAGTTCAGCTGGGATGGCCTCTTTGTCCTACCAGTTGGTGTGATATGTCAATGCCAAGGGGCCTGTCTGGACTCCAGACCAGAGCTCCTCAGAAGGTGGCTTCCTCAGTCACTTTCATGTTAATTTCTCCTTCCCCGTGAGACTTATTGCCATGACCCCAACAGTCTTGAAAACACCTGCCAGAAAACCAGAGTTCTGTGACTTCTCTGAATCTTGAGTCCTTTATCTGTAAAACAAAAAGAAACCTACATAGTAGGAATGTTTGAGGATTGAATAAGAAAGTGGCCATGAAAAAACAATATTAGCTGTTGCAATTATCACTCTCTTCAGGTACTGGCGAGGAAGGAGAAGTGGATGTGGAAGGGCTTTCTGTCAATTACAAACTCGGGAAAATGCCTGCATCCTCAAACAGCTCATGAGCAACCAAGGTGTCATCATCAAGACCTCGTTTCCCCTCACCCCACATCCAGTCGCCTCCCAGCTCCTGCAATCCTTCCTCCTCTGTCCAGTGGAGGTGCCCCTGTTTAAATCCCCTTATCACTTGAGGTTTGCAGAGGCCAAGAATTTGATTAGATGGGCTGATGTGCCTTGTAGTTTCTTTCCTTTACTTGAAAATTCATCTATGCCTTTCTAGAAGACACTCCGGCTTCTTGGTGCCACCGACGGCTCCAGGCCGTGCAGAGCAGCATGCTCTCTGGGTTTCTCAGCCCTCCGTGTGGTCGTCCAGAATGAAGGGGTAGGGGTGGGTGTTGTGGCACAGCAGGTTAAGCCACCGCTTGGGAAGCCCATATCCCTTAACTGGAGAGCCGGATCAAATCCAGCTCATTTGTTTCCCATCCTAGGAGGCAGCAGATGATGGCTCAAGGGCTTAGACCCTTGCTATCCATGTCGGAGATCTGCATGGCGTTCCAAATGGAGTTCTGGTCTCCTGGTTTGGGTCTGATCCAATCCTGGCTGTTGTGAACAATGGGGAAGTGAACCAGTGGATGGCAAATCTCTCTCCCACCCCCACCCCTCACACACACACACACACACACACACACAGAGTTGCTCTGCTTTTTCAAGTAGATGAAAATAAACAAACATTTTTTTAAAAAAAGCATGAATGAAGTAAACCTTGTCACTCCCCCTTCGTGGTCCTCACGGAGTGAAAGGGTTGCTGAAACCTCTTAGGACTACACTGGGCTCCTGGGAAGTTCTGCTTCGCCGCTAACTTCTCGCGGTCAGCAAAGCCACCTTGCTTGCCTGGAGTCCTCGTCACGCCCTCATCCAGGAAGGCAGCCATATTTTCACTGATTTTCCTTGCCCTTTTGTTGGTACGAAACCACTTTCGTTTGTTATGATTTTTTAAATAAACTTACTTTCCCCATTCTCTCTTCCCTTCTCATGTAATTACATACCAGCTGGATGGACTACCGTAACGGCCGCTCAGTGCTTTTGCTGCCTTTAATCTCACACCCCTGCAATCTAACTTACTGTTCTTGTTAGGATCTCATCCCCGCAGGACCGCCACACGACTTTCACAGGGACAATTAGGCAGTCTGGGGAGCACATGAAAGCCAGAATGAGAGAGTCGGTGAGCCATGGCTCCTCTCTTTCCTATCCATCTCCAAGGAGCTACTCTAAGTGTCTAACTGTGGATGAAATAAGACGGGGGTGTCCCGGCAGGCCAATTCCGGGTCTGCTTATGCACTAAATTGCTGATTAACATGGGCAGCTCACATCATGTCATCGTGTCTCTGAGCCTTAGTGCGCTCATCCCCAACCATGACAATAGTAGTGGTAGTAATGGGTCGTGTTTCTTTTGAATTCAGCGTGTATCAGGCACTGCTTTAAGAGACTGACATGTCTTTGAAATAAATACTACTGTGGCCTGCATTTTACCCGTGGGAAAGATGAGGCTCAGAGAGGTTAAGGAACCAGTCCACAGGCACACAGCAAGACGTAATTGGGACCGTGCTTCAAACCCAGGTAGTGGCTCCAAACACTGCATTTGACTACTACAAAAAAGAGTTGAATTCAATGAGCTTCTGGGGTCTCGCCAGCTCTGAAAATACCTCCAGTTCATGCGCCAGAGAAGGCTGCTGTTTCTCCTAACACACACCCTGGGTAGGGACGGGGAGCTCTGTTAAGGTGTGACACTGCGGCCCGTATAGTTCATCCTCCAGCTGGGAACGTCGTCTAAATATAGAAGCTCTCTCAGCATCGCGAGGACTGACTAAACTGGGTTAGTTGCCGGGCAAGGTGCTGGAGGCAGAGCGAGCGGAAAGGTGAGCCAGCTGCGCGGCCGCCCTGCACAGCCATGTAGGGCAGAACTCCTGCCGAAGCTCCGCCTGCTGGCATCACGGTTTGCACCGCGCGCCCTTTAGCGGGGTTATATAACGCTGATTAAGGTAGATTACTTTATGAATCAATCCGCCTCTCCGAGAAACCAGGGCATTTTGCCAAATCCTTTCTCACCAGGCTGACAATTTCCTACCTAAGGTTGATTCTCTTCCCGCTTGTTTTCGGCGGCAAGGGAAAACTCTGGCATGTGTCTGATTCCTGCTTGGCTGGACCGTCTTGGTGTATGCGTAGCTCCCGGCAGTGTTAACTTTCTTGTCTGGATTATTCTGTGGGAGATGTTCCTGGGCCCTCCAGATCTCGTGGAGAGTTGAAGTGTGTCCCCTTAGAAGAGGCCTCAGTTGTAACCTCTGATGCGTGTGAAAGTGACTTGATT